CCAGGTGCCAGATGATTGGAAAATAGCCAATGTGGTCCCCATCTTTTAAAAAGGGAGGAGGGAGGACCCAGGCAACTATAGGCCCATCAGTCTTACCTCAATCCTAGGGAAACTCTTTGAGAAGATCATCAAGGAGCACATCTGCGATGGGCCGGCCTCAGGGATGATGCTCAAGGGCAACCAGCACGGTTTCATTAGGGGCAGGTCATGTCAGACCAACCTGATTGCCTTTTATGATCAGGTCACAAAAGCATTGGATGCAGGTATTGCCGTGGATGTAGTCTTTCTGGACTTCAGCAAGGCCTTTGACACTGTCTCCCATCCCATTCTCTTCAAAAAACTAGGTGACTGTGGCACTGTTGCCTACACAGTCAGATGGACTGCAGATTGGCTGAGGGGTCGTACTCAGAGGGTAGTGGTGGACGGGTCTTTTTCAACTTGGAGGGAAATGGGCAGTGGAGTCCCCCAGGGCTCCATCCTTGGGCCCGCACTGTTCAATTTCTTTATTAGCGACTTGGACGATGGGGTGAAGAGCAGCCTGTTTAAATTTGCTGATGATACCAAGATTTGGGGTGAGGTGGGCACAATAGTAAGGGAGGACAGATTACATCAGGACCTGGACAGGTTACAGGGGTGGGCTAATGAAAATAGGATGGGTTTCAATACTGACAAGTGCAGGGCAGTAGGAGCTTGTTCAATACTGACAAGCACTTGGGCAGTAGGAACCAGCAGCGCACTTATAAGCTTGGAAACTCCCTTCTCGAGAGTATAGTGGCAGAAAGAGATCTTGGAGTCATTATTGACTCCAAGATGAACATGGGCCGACAATGCGAGGTCACAGTCAGTAGGGCTAACCGTACCTTGTTGTGCATCCACAGATGCATCTCAAGCAGATCCAAGTAGGTGATCCTCCCCCTCTGTGTGACACTGGTCAGGCCACAGCTGGAGTACTGTGTTCAGTTCCGGGTGCCGCACTTCAGCAGGGCAGACCCTACGAAGAGAGGTTATGGGACCTTAACTTGTTCAGCCTTTGCAAGAGAAGGCTGAGGGGGGACATGGTGGCCATCTGTAAACTCACTAGGGGGGACCAGCAGGATTTGGGAGAGACCTTATTCCCCCGAGTGCCTCCCGGAGTAACAAGGAATAACGGCCACAAGTTGTCAGAGAGTAGGTTTAGACTAGACATCCAAAGGCACTACTTCACAGTTAGGGCGGCTAGGATCTAGAACAAACTTCCAATGGAAGTGGTGATGGCTCCTACCCTGGGGGTCTTTAAGAGGAGGCTTGACATCCATCTGG